CGAGACAAATTCTTTCATATATTTACTTTGTATATCGTAAAATCATTTTTAAAACTATGGTTTTGTTCCTATCCAGACACCCTATAATTATAAAAGCAAAAATTCAGTTAAAACACTTGGCTTGCATAAAATTTTAATCAAACAAACGCTTGAGCTGAAGACTAACGACAAGACTAATTACAAGACATAAAGAAAGGAGCATCCCCTGACTCTCAAGCACTAGAATTAAAGGATACGAAACTTTCAGCGGAAGACGACGTACAGTGCCTCCTCCATATATTATATTTGTTGTCAATTTTCACATTTTTTGTTTCAAATAACATTAAGTTATGCTCACACGTGCGTAGGCATATCGCTTAATGAAAATTCTTCGTGGACTAATTTTAACTTCTAAAATAGGAGTAACGCATATCACAAAAGTCCTAGCTAATTTTAAATTATAAATCTTCTGAAAATTAATAATTGCTAATGTAATCATCTCTATCTTGCTCATGTCTAATGATAATCATTGAATTGCCTCATGCGCCTACTGATCAAATTATGGGGGGGAAAAACTAGCAATATGTTAAAAGTGATAAGATAATTAATATAAAATTAAATTATCTTCCAACAAATAATAATTTGGACGAAACAAAAACACACGCAGGCAAGCGAGGACAATCACACGAATGGGCTTATATGCGTAGTTTATATTATTTCTGGTTCTTAATATAAGATCCAATTCATTAGTTTGGAGAAGTTAAAAAATTTACTAAATTACTTAATTATAGTATATATTACATGATCTCTTTAAAATATTTATATGTATCATTAAATTATATATCAATTCGTAAGTGAGGCAAATTAATTTGAAGAAAAATGATAAACATAAATATTTTAAAGTAATTTAGTAATTTCTTTAATTTTCTTAAATTAATTAATTGAGTGTTATATTAAGGATCGAAGGTAATATTTCATATAATTGCTGCTTCCTAAGGAAAAACTAGTGCATATAAAACCCCCGGCATATGTAACATTTTTAAAAATTTTCTTTTTATGTTCAAATTTCGTAATTTGTACTTTTTTCCAATATTAAATTTTTAGCATGAAAACACGTGAGAGTATGCATGTGCAGTGTGTGAGTATTTAAAAAAAAAAACTATTACCTTGTCATTGTTGCAAAATGATATATATCACTGTGCCTTCGTTAACAGAGAGAAGATATAAAAGTAAGAGAGAAGAAACATTAATTAAAATCTTTCAACCCCGCTTTATTTTCATAAGAAACAAACTTATTAAATTTTCCACTCTTCCATTATCATTCAACCAGACAAAGCTAATTAATAAAGACGTGTGGTTTTTGATGTGAAAAAATAATGACTTTTCATGAAGTTAACGATTTATTGTAATAAAATATGAGTTATAGTACTATTTTCTGTTATAGTTTAATTTAGTAAAATTTATTTTCTGCAACCAGATTATATATGCTTTTTTTAGTACAAGTTATATGATACTCTATATATGGTAAATAATGAATAATCCCAAGAAAATTGTTTCATAGTGAAAAATTATTTCTCCACTTATTTATAAATAAGTTATACAAAATACACACGCGAAAAGCAAAAAAAAAAAAAAGAACAAAGCAACTTTAAGATTAATAATTTGTATTTTCCAAAGTTGTGAGGAAGCACTCCATGAATCACATTTTAAAAAAAATATATCTTTGATGTCACATAATGTGAAGGGAAATTTCCCATCACATCTCAGGTGAAAAAACCAAGTATAAATAGATTTTTTTTTTAAAAAAAAAGGTGCAAATGGCCACAGTGCCTTTTAACGACGTTGATAAGCTTGGAATGATTGATCAATCATGACTCGATCATTGACGACATTGATCAGTGGCCGGTCAAACAAATATATGTATTTTGGTGATAACAAATATATTTTATTTTAATGTACTTTACAATTTAAATATCATAGCATCTGAACATTTACAAGTTGAGTTAATTTAGAAGTAATCATTCTACTTTCCTATAATAAAATTGCTTAGTAAGAAAATTGTTTGTCGAGCTAGTTATTATACTCACATCACATGGAGAATAACACACACAACAGATGTGGTTATTGTCAAACCAAGATAAGATTAACAATTTTTAAGTGGTGAGGAGGCCCTCCGTGAATTACATATAGAAAAAAACGAAAAAATTAATATTTCATTAAAACATAATATTAATATGCAATAAAAAAATAAATGAGACTGATTCAAATAATAATTTTATGGCCTGAGAAATTTAAATGATAATTAATATCAAAAGGGTTTCCCCGTAAAGTAAACAACCAATTCATGATCATTTGACTGGTATGCTCTGCTGAAATAAGAAAAACGAAGACCGTGAGGCGTCCTCTTCGAGTAGTTATAAAGGACTCCAAAATAATGATGAGGTAACGGGGAGAATGTTGGGGAAGAGAGTTGTATAGCTAAGAGAGGCTGAATCCTCCTTCTGCAATCTTCATTGAGTGATTTGAGGATTATTGAAGCTTGAGGGATGATGCTACAACCTGTATTATTATTCCCAATAATAATATCACTCTCTTTTAATGTCAGTCGAACCAACAATAACCAGTGAGGGATGCTGTTAGGAATAAGTAGTGTTGTTAATAATGTATCGTCCCTCTTACTATCATCCTCATCGGCCCCTTCTTGTTCATCTTCCATTAATAATAATGTTGTCTCTGCTACTTGATCACCTTTACTACTTATTTCTCTTTCATTCTCACTAATAATTTCTCTATCATCCTCATCCTTTTCTTCATCATCTTCCACACCCCTTTCTTCTCCATCACCCCTCACCTTTACATAAAGCCTGAAGTCATTCCAGCTTAAAGGACCAATGTATGCATGACAAACATGATAGGTATGATGTTGCTTGAAATCATGCCCAAACTCAATTGGACTCTCTAACCATTCAACTACCCTCACAAATGGAAGTAAAGTCGCCAAACTTTGTATTCCCATTCTCATGAATTCTGCCGTCTCTCCCAATGGCATTCTCACATGCTTAAATCCAACACCACACATCATCTTGCCACATACCAACACCTTCATTGTCACTTTATTGAATGTCAAATTGGGAACATCCAAATAATTGTACACAATCACTAACCCTGATGAATTTCTCCCGTTCATACTGCCCCCACTATTTATCTGCATTGGCCCACAATCTTGTATAAATAAATTGACATCCTTTTCCAGGACAGTTGAAGAATGGATTTGATCTAACATTAGGGGCTTGAGACAAATCTGGGAGTGCCCTGAGATTTTTTGAACCTATTAGATTTATTTTCCTTAGATTTGGAAATTGCTGAAAAAAAGAAAAACAAAGCAATATTGTTAAATAAATTACATAAGTACACGTACGTACAATTTACTCAACAATTTTTCTAATGCCCATTACAAGAATAGTTGGACCCCCCGCAAATGGTACAATTACTACTCAACTATCAGTTTAAAGATAGTAACAGAGCAAACATTTGCATTGTGAATTATTTTAGTCAGTGTTTCTTATAATCACAAGAACAAACAATTATGACATATCAGAAACTATATGTGCCTGATCTCCATCCCAAAGCTAATGAATATTACTCTTGGGCAAATTAAGTTCAATAAGATTCTCAACACAAAAACAATTAAATGTTTGCATTGTCAATTATTTTGGTAAATGTTTGATGCCACGTCTTAGAATCACATACACCAACAAAAACATTATGACATACATTTGAAAAAACAATGCGTATGTACCTGATTGCCATCACAAAGCTGTTGGATATTATTCCGTCTCAAATCAAGTTCAATGAGATTCTCAACACAAAATTGTAATGGCACAGATGGCAATGGATATTCTTCCCAATAAAGAAACCTTAATTCTTCTGAAAGATAAACCAACTCTTCACAAATATTCAACTTTGAAGGCTTTCTTTGATCAGACTTGTAAACATCAAGGAATATTAAATCATACATCCTTTGAAAATGACTAGCCCTCAATGCGATGCTTTTTATCTTGCTTGCATCCAATGACATGCATCGAATTGCCTCAATCCCCTGGTAATAATATCAAATCAAGGGAAACACAAATATCGTTACCTGAAAAAAGACAATAAATACCATAGAACAATTAAATATATCAACTTTTATCCAAATTAACACCGCTATATCCATTTTATTCAAAATTCCTTACAATTCATGTTTTTCCCGTAATATATGAATTTCTCAACAGTCATATATACACAGAGACACTGATGCGTATACCTACATGCATGCGCAGATATTTAGAATATAATCATAAAAGCAAAAAATTATTTGTTTTTTATTTTCCCGTTGTGCTTCAAATAACGGTAAGTTATGCTCACACATGCGTATGCATATAGCACTTAATGAAAATTCTTTGTACACTAATTTTGATTCATTTTTTTCATTTTCACCTCTTATTTATTGAAATAAATGTGAAAAAGCAACTAGCAGTGTTTTATATTTGATATTCTCTCCGTCCCCTAGTCTTAATTTAAAAAAAAAAACATATAGACTAAAAAACCAGTAAAAAATATGTGATATGTAAAAATTATTTTGCTTTATTCCTACTTTCAATTAAATGCAACGGACAACGTTTCTTTAAATATTAAAATTACAACATGTAATTTAGACTTTTATTAAACAATTTTAAAAAAAGATACATTGATTATACCTAAAAAGTTATATTTAAAAAAACTTAAAATTAGGACCCTTGTTAACCAATATGGTGAGCGCAAAGGGAAAAAAAATTAAGAATGATACTTAAGGTGTTTTAGAAAAAACATATCATATTAACTAATTTAACTAATATCCTTAATCTACTCAAATTAATTAATTAAGTCTCAACATTTGGACTAGAAGAGTACTTTCATTGCTACAATCGGAGTATAGGGGCGAGAGAGAGGGTCATCAATAAAGCAGGGGAGCCTGGGAGGTTTGAGGTTGATCTATGAGAAGCAGAGTAAGAGAAGCAACCACAATAATTACTCATATGGGACTCTGTAATGTCCAAACGCAGTTTTAGATCTACGAGAGGTTGAATCTTTTTGCTTTTCAAAATTGAAGCTTGTAGAATAATGTAACCTCTTGCGTTTCCAATAATGGAACAAGTGCTAATACACTAGCATTAGTGTTACCTGTACAACACTCCGCTTGTGCCATTAACTCGTCGTCTTCAACTTCCAATCTCATCCTCTCCTCATTATCATTACCCACTTCTCTTCTTAATGGTACCACCACGCCACTTTCTGACACTCGTTCAAATCAAACGCCAGAGATGATCCCTCCTGACACAAACATCTTCATTGTGTCACTTTATTGAATGACAACTTGTGAAGATCCAAATAATCACGCACATTCACTAACCCTGATCAACTTCTTTCTCCCTTTAACAGTACCACCAATGTTTATTCGCTCTGGCCCATCATATCTCAAGACATAAATCGGTAAGCTTGACTAGGACAGTTTGAAGAATGGATTTGATCCAAACTTACACAGCCATCAGCTTTTAAGCATTCAAGATTCGGGGTCTTAGACAGATCTGAGAGTACCGTGAGATATTTTGAGCAGCTTATGTCGATCTTCTTTAAATTTGGAAAATGCTGAAAAAATAAGCAATATGTTACGTTAGATAATTACACAATTTAACCATGAATTTCACTCATGACAATTAAAAACAGGAGACTTTAAAGGAAATAAGTCAATGCATTCAGAAGAGCATTGGATTTAAGGAAAGGAAAAAAAAAAGGTCTATAAAGCTGGAAAAATTGGTGATTGGTAAACTTGGGTCCGGATATGTATATGTATAGGGGTTGCGCAATCTTAGGGCTAACGAGGGCAATATGCTGAAATTCGCACAGCTAACATGTAATTTCTCCAAATTGAGGGGGTGCACTCAAATATCAACCGTTCATTTGGTCAATGTTTGATGGCTGAGATATCTAAAACAAAAGTTCAAAGAGTTGTTTAGAATTAGATAAAGAAAATGATACATACTTGATGGCCTTTCCGAAGTTGCCTGATATGACCATTAGGAATTTGAAGCTCAGCAGGATTCCCCTCATAGAAGCTTAACGGCACAGATGGTAAAGGATATTCTTCCAACTAACAACCCTGAATTAGTTCATCTGGAAGATAACTCATATCCTTACCAATAATCAACTTTGAAGGCTCTCTCCAATCAGACCAATAAATTTTTAGAAATATTAAATTATGCATCTTTCGAAGGTCATTAGCTGTCAATGGAATCCTCTTTATCTTGCTCATGTCCAATGACAAGCATTGGATTGACTCAGTCACCTAGTAAGCACGTCAAGGGGAAAAAAAGAACAACTATTATCACATAAAAATTTACCAAAATATCATAGAAAATGAGATTACAAAAAAAGAATAGATAGATTAAATTAGTACCTTTTTACTAATGAAAAAATCATAAATGTCCTTATGACTTCACAGTCGAACAGGGCCTTTAGGATTGGAGAATGACTGTTCTCTAGCAATTTCAACACCCATGTCCCTCACAAGATCATGCATCTCAATATAGCCGTTATGATCCAATGAAGTGAGGGCTCTCTCTTTAAGAACATTTATGTCAATATCTACAGAAGAGCCATATAATTGTCTTATTAGGTTCAAAGAAACTTCAACTATTTCCTTGATGAAAAATGCTATGTCAAGAAACATATTCTTTTGGCGCTCATCAAGTCTATCAAAACTCAATTTCAGAACATCAATAATGTACTTGGGTGGTGCTTCTTTTGTTTTTTTCCAAAAAACTTTCCCACTCCTCTTTTCCTCTACCTTGAAGAAAAGAACCCAACATTACAAGGGCCAATGGATTTCCTTGACAATAATCCACTACTGATTCTGATAATTCCATATAACTTTTAGGTGGCTCATTTTGCTTGAATGCTTTCAAACTAAAGAGATGAAAGGCATCATGTAGATTTAATCTTGAAATAGAGTATGTTGAAAATGCAAAAGCATTATGAAGTACTTGCATGTCCCTTGATGTGATAATAATTCTACTTCCTTCTCCAAACCAATGATACATTTCAGTTAAATCTTCAGCCGGCAGTGAATTGTCCACATCATCAAGTATCAGAAGAACTTTTCTGCGTTGAAGCCTACTTCTCACAAAAGAGGATTCTATATCAAAGACATTAATGTCCTTATCTTTTATTAATTCTTTGAGACATTCTTTTTGTAACCTGTCAAACCCAATTATTGCTAGTTGTTCCCTTACATCTTCCACAAAGGAGAAAGCTTCAAACTGTGCTTTCAATTCGTGGAATACAACTCTAGCAAGAGTACTCTTACCTATACCACCCATACCCCATATTCCCACAATGCGAGCTTTACCCAATCGCTCTTCAATCTTCTGAATATGATGATCAATCCCAACTAATCCTTCAAAATGAAAGGACGACTTGCCATTCAATTTGCTCAAAATATCTTTGACAATCTTCTTAATAAGTTTGGATTCAGGCCTAGCACATACATAAATTAAAAGAACAATCATCTTTAATGCCCAAAGAAAGAAGGTATAAGTGCAGAATGAGTAGAAACTACCTGATATTCTTTGAATCCCACCCAGAGAGATTTGTTGATTGGATCAAAGCATTTGTCCAATTTTGCACTTTTTCTTGGTTGTGGCTAAATCTCTGCTTAATCTTAGTAAATCCATCTCCAAAACTTCCATTTTGTTTGCGAACATTTGATGGATCTATGTCATAGAAAATAGGGATGACAACTCTTTGGTATTTATTCCTACAGTTCATAATATGAACAAGCTCGTCCATACAACATGTTGAAGATGTATAATCTTTGGAGAAAATAATCAAAGATATCTTTGATTCCTCTATTGTTTTCAAAAGAACGGGTGAGATATGGTCTCCTTTGTGGAGCTTGTGATCCATAAAAGTTTGAAGGTTTGCATCGCAAAGTGCTTCATAGAGATAACTTGAGAAACTGTCATGAGTGTCTTTCCCTCTAAAGCTAAGAAAGACGTCATAATTGGTTGTAGGAGGAGCAACAATGATATTAGAAGGAGAGCAAACCATGGGAATCGAATCAACATCATCTTTAGAACTACAGATGGAAAGAAATCATAAATTAATATTGGGCTATCAGCAAACGGAACAAAGAGAAATAGCTATAGAAGATTTTATCTCTCATGAATAGAAATAGGACGGATAGTATTTGGATTCATTTAAAAATGACTTATAAGCTTCTTATGGACCAAAAGTCAGCTTGTCCGCTTTTTGTTGCATTTGGTTTCACTTTTGGCCCATCCTACTTTTAAGCCAAAAGTAGCTTATTTTCCGCGATTGGCATAAGCTGATGAAAGCTACTTTTATGTGCTTATTGGTTGGGAAATGAGAAAACCAGCGAGGGGTGATGGAGCGAAGGGGAATGGACTGATGGAGAACATCTGGACTAGGAAAAAAAAAATGAGTCTTCATATTTTATATGTATTATGTCAATTTATTTTTTTATATTTAAAATATTTTTTATGATTTCTCTAAAATTTTAAAATTTAATTCACTCATTAAATTTGACTTCTTCATAATAAATTATTTTAATTTTATTGTATTATGTTAAATCATTTTTTTATCATGTTCTATTATTTATTAAAATTCATACCCATTTTGGTCATTTTACAACCAAACTTACTTTTACTCAACTATCAAAACAAGCTTTTATCAATCTCACTTTTGCAAACTAGCTTTTTTAAACTCTAATCCAAACACAATTCAGCTTATCTAATTTAGCTTTTACCAACTTCACTTCTCCATAAGCTACTTTTTCAATAAGCTATTTTTTCAATCGCTCATCCAAACGGACCCAAGTGGAGAGATTAATCTAATAGCTTTATAAATTATTATAGCCAGCAAAATCAATACAGCTTCTATGAGCATTAAAGCAATGGTTGCATCCATGTGACTATAATTTCTTGCTTCAACCTCAAACTAATACTTGCTCTTTGGCTTTACCTTCCCAGCAGGGGGTATGGTTTGTTTCCTAATTCACGTGATGATAAAAAGATCAGACAAAAATAGTTAGCAAGTGCACAATACATGTGTCTATATAATACGATATCTCAGGCATTGCTAACCTAATGTTATAGTATCTTCAGAAGACCTGGACCTAATACTGTTGGGCTTCACTGATGACGTAATATCAAGCTCAAATTGTTCTGCAAAGTCCCAAAAAATAAATTATCTGCCAGAACACGAAGAACAGAGGAAAATCAATGAAATATGTGATGTGTGCTGTAAAAATATGATCTTCGGAGTTCGTTGAAAAAAACTAAGTTTACGCACTTCTATATTCAGTTAGAGAAAATGATACCCCCACACATAGGCGGACCTATTTGTTGCATAGTTGATATAATACCCTTATAATTTTTGCCGCACATATCTTGACAAAGATGCCTTGGAAAACCAATTGATTCAGCCAACTCCTCGAAGCCACTGAAGAATGACAATTTAAATTCAAGCTTCTAAATTTGCCGAAGCAACTCGAGCCAAGCCATTTATCAGATCATGCATAAAAAATACCTTGAGAATTTTCTAATTTGATGATAATATAAAGAGAATAATAAATAGAACGCCAATGCATAACAATCCAACATTGCACAACAAAACAATCCGAAGCATATAAGTCGATAGTAATCAAAATGAAGAGGGCAGAGACATGATAGCCGATTACACACAATTGAAGCAAAAACCAGTAACCAAGTCACCAAAAAAAAAACTCAATCTTTATTCAAAAACGCCAATATTCAAACAATTACACGACCAAAATGGAAGCGAAATTAAAATGAAAATTTTAAAATAAAGCAATAAACGGTGTGATGGCGTCCGACACAGGGTTGAATACCACGCAGGGAACTGATGACGTGGGGAACAAATTCAAATATAGATTCAAAGCCAGACTGAACAAATCAATCTCACTGAATTTTGGGAGTAGACAAAGCACCAATGTTCGGACCTTCTTCAGTACTTGCAGGAGAACGACCACTCAAGGTTGGTAACAGTGGACGGCGTCCGTCGGCGAGCTCTACCAAGTGTGGAATGCTAATTGTTAGTCGACGCCCGACAAAGGATCCGCTGGCGCTGACTAGTTTGGCGGAGGTTACAATTTAATGGGGAAAAAAAACCACTGTTTTTCATTTTTATGTTATATGATATCCGACCCATCCCATAATTATAGCGTGCACGTCCGATTTTTAATATAAAATTTAATTTAATTTTTAATTTGATTATAAATATAAGACTCTAATATATTTTGTCTTTTATATGTATTTATTTATTTTTTTAAAACAGTCTTTATAATAATTGTACATATTAAAGATTTCATCAAATAGTAGTTTTATTTAATACATATGATTAGTAAGAGTATTTTAAAAAAGACAACATGTAATTATTATAAATAACTAATTTAAGAATCATCAATAAATACATATATTTTACAATGAGTTGGCTAATCACGAGTACTTGAATCAACCAGTAAAAAAACTGTTCTAGTTTAATTAAAGACCTCGAATCTAGTCTTCCATCTAGAGGTATTCAAGTGTGTCTCATAGGAGGACGACACAAAATATTATGTGTGTCGGTGTGCGCATACATGTATATTAAATTATTAGTTTTATCAATTGTAATGTTAAATGAAAATATGACTCATTAGGCCCACAAGTTACTGATGTATAGGAACTGGCAGATTAGTTTTTTTGCATAGATACACCTGACTTTTTAGCAGAATTCTCTCATTTTATGACTGATAATTTTTGCGTCCTTTCGAAAGTTTATCTGGGTTTCAGTTTGGTATAAAATATTAAAACTAAGAGATAGGAATTGAGAAAATCTATTAAAAGAATATTTAGTACGAGAGATTACCTGTTACATGTAAATAGATAAACCCATGCAAGTGGGATTGGAGAGTATCATGAAGGGAGATGATATTTCTTAATCCCACCTCCATAGACTTGCCTAATCTTATATACTATCTTTGGTCCTAATAATAAGACCCAGTTGATTAATTTGAAGAGATTAAGGAATATAGTTAAGTTAGTTATTTGTAATGAATATGCGCTTTTTTTCCTAAAATAGCCTTGCTAATCAAGTTTGTTATCTAGAACTACCATTGTTAGAAGGATTACTTTGGAGAAAAAAATATATAAATATGAGAGACAAAGTGGATTGGGCTCTTATATTTAAGATCAAAATAAAAGTCAAACAAAGTCTTATATTAAGGACAGGAGGTAGTATTAAATAATTATTTATGTTAAATACTTTTCTAATAACTTTTGTTAGTTACAATCTCAATATCTTATTTTCAATAGTTTGTTCCAAACAGCACCTAAGGCTTTGTGCATGCCCTCACTTCATTTCAAACCCTTAGCGTTGCTCACCGTTCACTTCATTTTCAATGGTTTGGTCTCTTAGGGTTTGTTTGGTTGGAGGGGAGGGAAAATGAGCCCCTCCCCTCATTTGGTTAAAAATTTTGGAGGGGAGGGAAGCCAAAATGTCCCCTCTTCTCCCCTCCCTCTCCCCATTTTAGCTTCTCTCCAAATTGGGGGTTTTTGGAGGGGAGCTAAATTTTTGGACCATTATACCCTTATAGTTTTTTTAATATTTCACTACTACCCATAAAATATATTATTATAATATTTATTTCAAATAAAAAGTATATTATCCTAAGTAAAAAATAAAAAATATAAATTATTATAATTAAAAAATATATTATAAAAAATTATTTAAATAAAAAAATTATAATATTATAAAATTAATTGTTTTTTTATAAATATATTATTTATTAAATATATTTTAAAGCTGAAAAAAAGGATAGCCTAAAGAGAATAAAATTTCATTTTTCTTAGAGCATATAAAATTTGTTAATTTGATTATTTTAAATATATTATTATATTAATTAGGATAAAAAATTACTGTACCAAATTTTTAATGCACATATTAACATGATAAGACTAAATTTTTATTAAATTATATAATTAAATTAAGATGTAAATTAATTTATATAATATATCAATAAAAAATATAAAGTAATATGTAAGGGTAAAATGGTAAATTGATTATTATTATTCCTCCCTTCCCCTTCTTGAACCAAACAAGGAATCATTAAATATCCTCTTCTCCCTTTCTTTTTAATCAAACCAAACAGGGTGAGGATAAAACCTCCCCTCCCCACCCTCCCCTCAAGCCAAACAGGCCCTTAGGTGGCGACGACGCCTCTCGCTCTCAACTCTCGTCCTCTACCAGTCACTCATTGATCTCTCATCCTCGCTTCCCCTCTGCTCAGGACTTCATAGTCACTCACTCACATAGTCACGCACGACGCCTCTCTCTCTCTACTGCTGGCCGGGAAATTGCTTCTTTGTCATGGGGCAGTCACCCATAGCCTCACTTCTGAAGCTAACTCCCCAGCTTTCTTTCGGTCTTTCAAATAGGTTTGTATCCATACTAGTAGGTATAATATTCATATGTAAGCTCTTTTATGGAGTTAACCGCTACTACTTGAGAATAAACCCGGAAGCAAGTATAGGGAAACTATATATTGATTATGTTTATGGAAAAAAATTGTTCTTACAATTTTGCTGTAACTGGAACGACTATATTGAAGTAAAATACCGTTGCAAACTTGTTGTTAGGATAGGAACCCAACATGAAAGGCTTTAATAGTTTTAGTTATTGCTTTGTCCTTTTTGTGGACTTGTGAAAAAGCTATAACAATTTTGGAAAGGGCATTATTTAGTACTTGGTGTAATTTTGGGACTTGTGAGTGTCTCTATAACGAGTACATGGTTGAATTACTAGTTTTTTCTTTAATGTATGTGTTTGGTTGATGTCAGATTTTTTCCATTTAGGTTTAAGATGGGTTTATCTGGCAAGAGATCTAGAGAATCGCAAAACAATGACATTGATTGGGATGACTACAGTGATATTGAGAATGAACAGGCAAGTATTTGCTGGGAGTTTCATCATCTTCCAATGTAATATTTATGATTTCTTTTTGGGTGATTGAGGATTATATTTTGATGTAGGTGGAGTCTGATGCAGAGGATTATGATGATGATGAGGGGAGGATGAAGATGACGAGGAGGGAACCTATGATGAAGAAGATGATACAGTAGAGGAAGATAAATGGAATAATGATGAGATGGAACAGCTTGAGAAAGAGTATAGGGAACTCTATAAGCAAGAGCAGTAAGATTTCCATCTTTATGGATGTGACATGACTTATATTGCTAGATTGAAGTTTCTCAATGAAGTTAATATGTGGGAGACTTTTCTTTGTAGTTGTTATTTTTATGTGCTGTATTGTTTACTAGTCTTGATGGTCTTTTGTTGTTTGTTTAAACTTTAAACTTTAATCTTATATTACACCCCTTGTTACATGGTAATTATTAAAATTAGAGTTAGTTAAGAGAATTGTTAGTTAGTTAGAGAAGGTTATTAGTATCCGTAGAGGATAATAGTGCATGCATGAGGTGTCTTGGAATTCAAATATAGTTTCTCTATTACTTTCCTTGTTCTACCTGCATCAATGGTATCGAAGAGAAAAAAGTAGAGATAGAATGTAGTAATTTCTTATTCCCCACCTTAGAACGAGTACATGTGGAATACTTATATTGATTCTCTCATGCTTGCTCTGGTTTAACAGACTAATAGAGTGATAACTCTTCTGTTACAACTAACTAGCTATTACTATTGCCATGTAATACCCAAAAAACTAGAGAGAAAAACTACACACACAGAAATCAGCTGGACCTTGTGAAGAATTGCCATTTCAAAAAGAAAATGAAGGTTGTTTTGGATTTAACAATATATGCATGTCTATGACATGGCTGTTAGCTACATTTGTAGAGTGTGCTATGGCACGTGGCACAGTGACATAAATTTCTTCTATGTTGGCAGCACTATTTTCTTCTTTCTTCCAAAGAATGTGCCTGTTTTTCTCTTTCCCTGCAAATTCTTTGGAACTGGCTTCCAATTATTATGTGTAAGCGATCCCTTTACTCCTTTTTCCTGAACTCCTATGCTCCAACTTTAACTCACTTGCTTTGGTGTTTTTATGGTGTTATTTGAAAATGTATCTTTTTGGCAAAAAGTGTTTTTTCCCCATATTTACGATCATGAGACAGAGTAAACCACATTGATGATTTTGCATGTGAGAAATTTTTGTTAGGGGGTAACCTGATGATGCATTAGTATTCCTTCTAAGCAATAGTAATCTCTATATTAGACTCTGGTCATGATGGTTCTTTTTGTTGTTCCTATTTTTTATCTTTAAGAGTGTATAAATTCTTATGCATGTAAAATTCTTTTTCTACCTTCAGAGATACCTTAAAGAGTTTGAAGTGTCATAAAGATGAAGATCTCCTCAAAGGTCAAGCTGTGAAAAACCAGAAGGTATAACGTTAACTAACTCATACCTTGACACACGTACATATATTTGATTTTTAAATTGATATAAATTATTTTATTGAGTAATGATTAATTATTTTCCAACCACTTAATCTTTTTCTGGATCCATTTCCTTTTTTTAAATTGTTATTTTGAACGACCCATTTCTTCCTTATTATAGTAACATGGAATTTTTTTTATTATTTCTTTTCTAAGTGCTTTCAGTTATAGTTGTTACCATAATATGTATATAGTTCAATGGACGTTTTCCCTCCTTTGCTTAGTTTGTAATCATATTATGTTTGTTTTTTCCTGAAGGCACTCTAGTACAAGATCCTTGAGCTTAGAGTCTTACTTCAGAAGCCATACTCAAGTTCAAATAGGTTACCCCAAGTATTTTCCTATTCCACTTGAAAGATTACTATGACTTTTTATTTATCACAAAAGAATTTTGTGCCAAAGAGATGAACTTTTTGCAGGAGCCAGTCAGGTCTTCATTGTATGGTTCTGATAAGGGTGTTAGTGTAGCATATTCAGATCTTATGACCTCCTCCAAGGAGACGTTAGATTCTATATTGGAACTACAAGGGGTCTAGATATAGAAGAAAATGTAGAACTGTTCCCTTAGATTTCATGCCAACAGAAACTGTATTTATCTATAATATTATGTCTTTACTTCTCTAATTTTCTTATGCACTGATAATTTTCTCCTTATATTAGGCCCTGCTTGCCCGGAATCCATCTATTGCCCAAGTCTCATATGGTAATTGATTTCTTTTTTGTTGTCCTTTGTTTTCCCCGTAATTTAACTGCAACATTAACATATCCTTTCTGTTGGTCAATAAAGCGAAAGGGCAATATTTTGCACTAATGGAAATAGATGCCTTGTCTCTTGTATGTGCATGTTGTTGAAAGGATTTTTATTTTTATTCTTTTGGGATGTGCTATAACTTCTATTCTGTCGCATATATGCTTGAATGTGTTGTGAACTAACATGAGTTTGTTTTATCTTCTAAAAGGTTCAGAAAGATCACCAGAACATTTAGACATTTTTAAGAATTTGGATGACAATTTTGATGAAGAGTGGTCATAGATTTCTCAATTGCATAAGAGGTATTTTTCATCATCATCTTCTTACCGTACTCTTATTTTGCTAGATGTTCATTTCCTCACAGCACATCATCATTCAGGCTTCTAAGTTTTTTCACTTGAACCCTACCTGCGGCAGTATATTTGAAACTTACCTTGTTATGTATTTGGTGTGCATTTTTTTTCTTTTTTTTACTTTTTATTGTGCTAAGCACCCGCCCCCCAGAAAACCCCCGAGGGGGACATGGCACACAAAACTAACTCAACTTGTAAGCACCCCTAAATCATGGATCTTCACTACTATCTAGACCTTTTGGATTGATGGAGTGATCTACTTCAAATTAAATTTCAGAAGAAAATAATGTGACCTTTTTCTTTTTCCAGTTTTTGCACTTATATTAATAAAGCCTATTATTGGTCTTCACTTAACAACTTAATATTTTGAGTTCCAACCGTGCCTTTTGACATTTTAGATTTCTTATATTTATATTCATGTGCATAAAATTGATTAGATAGACACTATGACCTAATTGATGTTATTCATGATTGCATTTTGTAGATTGGCACCTTTCAGAGATAAGTCGATCAACAAATGGCAGAGGATGCTGCAAGTGACAACTGGTGCTGCTGCCTTTAAAGGCAAATTATTGGCTTTTAATTAGGTCTGGCTTTGTAACTTCACTAAGGATTCTGTTGTGTGATAGGCAGGCTGTTTTACTTTTAACATGTCCATCATAGGATATAAGCCACCAAGTTGCTACTTATATGGGGGATCCCAGTAGAATGATCAAGCAAATGAGGCTGAGAACATCTGCTGTTAGTATATTTGGAAATGTAAGTCAGTGTTGTCTTTTTTTGTTTTTAAAACAAGATTCATTTTACAGTTTTCTCAGAGTCATAAAGTTAAACCCATTCATGCTTTTTTGGCTCTTTTCTAATTTTTGAATGCCTTTCAATTTCTGTATATTGACATCAAGAATATGTCTAATAATCACCAACTTTTTCTCTCATTTCTGCATGCACCGTCACTGGCATTGTCTTCGGAAGAGGTTAGTCAAATTCATTGCTAAATGAGTTAAAACAGAACCTGTGTTTTTCTCCATGTTTAATCATGCAGACAAATGTACCATGTAATATTTTTAAAGGAAGCCATTCAAGTGTTTCAATCATGGATTTTAAGTCCTCATACTCTTAATGCTTGTCATTTTGTTATCAATTATTATTTTAATATCCTTTTTATCTATTCTGTTTGCTTGTGCTTAGCAACGTAGATCAATATTTATTTCTAGCATGACAATTATGAATTCAAATTTGTTTAGGAAACTCATATTGATGGTGATCCCGAACTTCTAGATGACTTTGGATTTTATCAGCAATTACTAAAAGAGTTTTGCGAGACAGTTGATCCTACATCATCCGGTGAGCAATAATTGTCTTGTTTTGGTTGAACAGGCATTATTTATATATTGTATTCATATTCTGACTTCTGATGATGTCATTGGAGTATTAGACTAGTCAAGACATCCTCTTTTGTTTAACTAATTATAATGTATTTTGGCAATTATGACCGAATGATACTTGATATTTAGCATGAAAGGTTTCCTAGAAAGATTGTAGAATTAGTAGTGATTTTCGCCCCCTATCTAAATAGTTTTGATCAAATTTTTTGAGCCTAGAATTAGCATGAGCTGCTTTCCTAGAAATCATAGTGTTAACCTTATACCATGCAAGCAGAAGCCACTTTCTTATTTTCTGCTATTGTGAATCATACAGAGAAAGCACTTTATGCCTTAAGAAGATGCAACCAAAGAAAAGGAAAATTGTTGATCGTCGGGCCTCAAAAAGGTCGCAAGATAAGGTTAGTTGATGAAGATGGCATTTCCTTGTTTTGTACCATTACTTTTTGTCACGTGTATATACATACATACTGCTAAATTCTCCAGAACTGAAAAAGAGATTGTTGACTAATTTGCGATTTATATTGTGCGATGTGGCATTGAGGGTATAATGTTCATGAAAATATTGTAAACTTCATGGCTCCTGAGTTCATGAATCTTCCACCTATGGTTCCTAAACTTTTTGAAGATTTGTTTGGATTAAAGTCACAGAGATCATCTGTTGGGATAGCATAATCATACACTTGGAAAACAGATAATGACATCAAGTGTTGTGCAGTAACTTGTCATGATATATTTGTACTCATTTAACCAATATTATATTGTTTATTGAGGAATTTTATTTTTCTCTTCGAAAGGCAACAATTTAGTGTAGTGGTGAGGATTGGTAGTTTATAGAAGGTTTTAGTTTCAAATCTTCTCTATTCTTAATGTACTTATCTTTCGTGGACAGCATATATTTCCATAAGCAATCTATCCAACTGAGGCGTAGTTATCCATTACATTCATACTGAATAGCAATTCCATTATGTGGAATGATGCAGTGACTTAGATAAATCTTATTTAAGAGGCATACATTAATAGCAAGTGATTATCTCCCCCTTTTTACATGCTTGTTACTTTAAGTTTACATCAAATTTCATTTTAATTTTTAGGGTTTTTAAAGTGTATTTTTAGTTTCTTAATTTTAACATCTTAAATTTAAGATTAAACTAAAATTTGACGTAGATTTAAAGGACTAAGCATATATGTTATACTTTTTTTTTGGTTAAATCTATATGCAACTAGGATAAATTCAATAATTTAGTGAAAAGACTGGTGTTATTACCCGTGTCATGAACTTGGAAAGATTGATCAACCGTGTAAGTAAAATCAATGTGAACAGGAACTTTTGTTAATTAACTGCTAGTCTTAGTGCTACTTGCACCACATTTCCAAAATAACTATTTCAAAGCTGATTAATAAATCATACCTAACATAAATACATGCCCCAAGCAATTTTAGTCATATTTAAAGAAAGGATTTTTTTTTAAAGTTGAGTCTATGGAAAAAAAATTTCAACATGCAAACAAATAAAACTGAGGCACTTCAAGTTAAATATTGAGACTAACTGAAAATTTTAACAAATAACCAAAAATTAAGAGCATAAAATATAGAATAATTTTTTTTCAAGAAAATATTACTTTGTCGTTGTCGAAAAATGATAGGTATTATTGTGCCTCCATTAACCGAGAGAAGTTATAAAAGTAAGAGATAAGAAAAATTAATTAAAATCTTTTAACCTTACTTCATTTTCCCAAAAAATCAAACTTATTAAATTTTTCACTCTCCCATTATCATTCAACCAAACAAAGTTAATGAATAAAGACGTGGTTTTTGCTGTAAAAAAAAAATGACGTTTCATGAAATGAACAATTTATTGTAATAAAATATGAGTTGTAGTAAAATCTATTTTATGCAAGGAGACTGTACATATTTTTGAAGTACAAGTTAGAAGATACTCTATTTATGGTAAATAATGAATAATCCCAAGGAAATTGCTTCGCAATGAAAAATTATTTCTCCACCTATTTATGAATAAGTTATGCAATGCACACGCGCATAAAGTAACGAACGATAGAATAATTATTGAAAAGAAACAATAACATTAATAATTTCTAGAGTATTTTCTAAAGTTGTGAGGAAGCGCTCGATAAATCACACTTCAAAATATATATATATATATATATATCTCTCTCTCTCTCTCTCTCTCTCTGATGTCACATAATGGGAAGGGAAAATTACCACTAGATTTCAAGTGAGAAAACCAAGTATAAATAGATTTTTTTTTTGAAAGAGTGTAAATGACCACAGTGCCAATTAACCACGTTGATCAACTTGGAATGATTGACTGGCAGCCGATCAAACAAATATATTTTATTTTAACGTAGTTTACAATTTTAAATATTATAACATTTTAACATTTACAAGTTGAGTTAATTCAAAAGTAATCATTCTACTTTCTTATAATAAAATTGCTTAGTAAGAAAATTGCTTGTCACGCTAATTATTATACTCACATCGCATGGAGAGTAACGCACACAACAGGTGTAGTTATTGTGAAGCCAAGATAAGATTAACAATTTTTATGTTCTAAAGTTGTGAGGAGACCTCCGTACATGAATTACATATTAAAAAAAACAGAAAAATTGATATTTCATAAAAACATAATATTAATATGTAATAAGAAAATAACTGAGGCTGATTCAAATAATAATTTTATGACCTGAAAAATTGAAATGATAATTAATATAATCAGTGGTTCTTGAAAAAGTGAACAATTAAGCCATGACTATCAAAATAATCACTTGACCAGTATTCACTGTTGAAATAAAGAAAAGAAGGATCGTGTGGCGCACCCTCCAAGTAGTTATAACGGACTGTGAAAGAATGATGAGGTAAAGGGGATACTGGGGAAGAGAGTTGTACTGCCAAGAGAGGCTGAATCCTCCTTCTGCAATCTTCATTAAGTGATTTGAGGATTATTGAAGCTTGAGGGATGATGCTACAACCTGTATTATTATTCCCAATAATAATATCACTCTCTTTTAATGTCAGTCGAACCAACAATGACCAGCGAGGGATGCTGTTAGGAATAAGTAGTGTTGTTAATAATGTATCGTCCCTCTTACTATCATCCTCATCGGCCCCTTCTTGTTCATCTTCCATTAATAATAATGTTGTCTCTGCTACACGATTAACTTTACTACTTATTTCTCTTTCATTCTCACTAATAATTTCTCTATCATCCTCATCCTTTTCTTCATCATCTTCCACACCCCTTTCTTCTCCATCACCCCTCACCTTTACATAAAGCCTGAAGTCATTCCAGCTTAAAGGACCAATGTATGCATGACAAACATGATAGGTATGATGTTGCTTGAAATCATGCCCAAACTCAATTGGACTCTCTAACCATTCAACTACCCTCACAAATGGAAGTAAAGTCGCCAAACTTTGTATTCCCATTCTCATGAATTCTGCCGTCTCTCCCAATGGCATTCTCACATGCTTAAATCCAACACCACACATCATCTTGCCACATACCAACACCTTCATTGTCACTTTATTGAATGTCAAATTGGGGACATCCAAATAATTGTACACAATCACTAACCCTGATGAACTTCTCCCTTTCATACTGCCCCCAACATTTATCTTCATTGGCCCACAATCTTCTACGAATAAATGGAAAAGATTTTCCGGGACAGTTGAAGAATGGATTTGATGTAAATTCACACAACCATTAAGAACCATCTGCCCAATCTCCGGGACTTGAGACAAATCTGGAAGTGCCATGAGATTTTTTGAATCATTTAGACGTATTTCCTTTAGATTTGGAAATTGCTGGAAAAAACAAAGCAGTAGTGTTAAATAAATTAGATAACTCCACATACGTACAATTTAATCAAGAATTTTTCTTATGCCCATTACAACAACAGCTGGACTCCTCCCAAATTGTACAATTACTACTCAACCATCAATTGAAAGAAAGTAATAGAGTAAACATTTGCATTGTGAATTATTTTAGTCAGTGTTTCTTATAATCACAAGAACAAACAATTATGACATATAAGAAACCATATGTGCCTGATGTCCATCCCAAAGCTGATGGATATTACTCTTTGGCAAATTAAGTTCAATAAGATCCTCAGCACAAAAACAATTAAATGTTTGCATTGTCAATTATTTTGGTAAATGTTTGATGCCATGTCTTACAATCACATACACCAACAAAAACATTATGACATACATTTGAAAAAACAATGCGTATGTACCTGATTGCCATCACAAAGCTGTTGGATATTACTCCCAGGCAAATCAAGTTTAATGAGATTCTCGGCACAAAATTGTAATGGCACAGATGGCATTGGATATTCTTCCCAACGAAAAAACCTTAATTCTTCTGAAAGATAAACCAACTCTTCACAAATATTCAACTTTGAAGGCTTTCTTTGATCAGACTTGTAAACATCAAGGAATATTAAATCATACATCCTTTGAAAATGACTAGCCCTCAATGCGATGCTTTTTATCTTGCTTGCATCCAATGACATGCATCGAATTGCCTCAATCCCCTGGTAATAATATCAAATCAAGGGAAACACAATTATCGTTACCTGAAAAAATGACCATAAATACCATAGAACAATTAAATATATCAACTTTTATCCAAATTAACACCGCTATATCCATTTCATTTAAAATTCCTTACAATTCATGTTTTTCCCGTAATATATGAATTTCTCAACAATAATAAATACAGAGACACAGTAATGCATATAGCATGTGCAGATATTTAGAATATAACTAAAACAACAAAAATTATTTGTTTTTTATTTTCCCGTTGTACTTCAACTAACAGTAAGTTATGCTCACACATGCGTATGCATATATCACTCAATGAAAATTCTTTGTACACTAATTTATCTTTTAAAATAACACATCACGAAAGTCCTAGCTGATTTTAAATTATAATTCTTTTGAACATTACTAGTTGTTATTGCAATCTTGTTTATCGTCTTCATGTCTAATGATGAGCATTGAATTGCCCCAGCCGCCTACTGATCAAATTGTGGGAAAAAATCAGTAATATGTAAAAGGTCATCAAATAATAAATAGAACGATTAAATATAATTTTTTAGGAATTTCTAAATGAATATGCTTTTGCGCACTTTATTCAAACAATTCATTTCATCTTGCAATAAATAAATCGGACAATAACAGATACACACGCAGGATGGCGGGGACAATGATACGAACAGGCTTACATGCGCACGCTTATATTTCATATAAAAGGTTAATCTAATTTTTGATCCTTCAAGTTTTAAACTATAGATTTTGATTTCTCAAATTTCTTTTCATGTAAAATATTGGTTATTCTTTACCTAAAAGGATATTAATTCTTCTAATAATTTAATAAAAACCTAGACCATTTTATTCAACCCATGGTATGAAACTAAAGAGATTAAAATCAAAATTCATGTAAATTTAAGGGAAAAATATTATATTAACCCTTCGTATTAAAGAAAAACTAGTATATATAAAAACCTTGGCATCTATAAAATTTCTAAAAATTTCTTTTTCTGTTCAGATTTCATAATAAGTACTTTTTTGCAATATTCAATTTTAATAAGAAAACGCGTGAGGGTGAGAATATGCATGTGCAGTGCGTGAGAATACACACAATCACTTTTATACTACATCAGATATCAATTAATATGAAAAAAGGTAAACCTTTGTGGATAATTTTATAATTTATTGAAGATCTCATGCTCTAAATTTTATTTTATTTTTAAAAAAAGGCCTTATATCTTGCTAGTCATATTCTATCTCAAAACTTTAGGAAAACGAATATTTCAAAAGTTTAAGAAGATTAATATAATGAATCACACCTAATAGAAAGACTATGACCGCAGCCAATTTTAGTCAAACAAAGGACTTCTTTTATTGGGAAAAAAATCGGATTCCGCAAACATTGAGACTAACTGAAGATTTTAATGAATAAACAAATAACTTTTAGAGAAGTAAATGACAACGAAATGAACCATTAGGAGAACAAAAAATACAATAAAATCTAAAAAAAATAAATTATTACCTTGTCATTGTTGGAAAAATAACGATAAATATCCTCATGCCTCCACAGCCGAATGGGCTTGTCAGGATTAGATTTTAATTGTTGCTCAGAAATTTTAAGGCCCGTATCGATTAGTAGAGCATGCATCTTAATATCCTTATGTTCATCCACTAAAATAAGGGATCTCTCTTCAAGAACACTTATCTCAATATCTGCAATAGGACCATATAAGCATCTTGTATAGTGCCGAGAAATCCACCATCCTGCGTTCAACAAAAATGCAAGATCAAGAAATACTTTCTTCTGTGTGTCATCAAGTCCATCAAAACTCAATTTTAGCATATTAAAAATGTCATCGTGAGGAGTTTGATTTAGTTTCGCCAGAGCACTTTCCCACTCTTCTTTTCCTCTGCCATGAAGCAAGCAACCCACTACTTTTAGAGCTAAAGGATTTCCTTGACAATAGTCCACTACCGACTTCGATAACTTTGAATAGCTTTTCAATGGCTCATGTTGCTTGAAAGCATTCAAGCTAAAGAGATGAAGGGCATCATGCGGTTCCAATTTCGAAACATGATATGTCGCTGGAGATTCAGAAGCAGAAGTATTTTTAAGCACCTGCCTGTCTCTTGATGTGATGATAACTCTACTTCCTTCCCTAAACCAATCACATGCTTTGATTAAATCTTCAGCCATTCTAAAATTGTCCACATCATCAAGTACCAGAAGAATTTTTTTATGCTCAAGCCTCCTTCTCATAGAAGCGTATGTTAAATTGTAAGGGTTAATATCGTCGTCATCTAATAACTTTTTGAGGCATTCTTTGAGACATTTCGATCTATTCTTTGCCAGCTTTTGTCTGACATCTTCAACAAAGTGGAAAGCTTCAAAATCAGCTGTCAACCTCTCAAAGACAGCTCTAGCAAGGGTGGTCTTGCCTATACCACCCATACCCCATATTCCCACAATGCGAGCTTCACCTAGCAGCTCTTCAACTTTCTGTATCTGATGATCAATCCCAACTAATCCATCCACATGAAAGGATGACTTGCGATTCAGTTTGCTCAAAACATCTTTGACAATCTTTTTGACAAGTTCGGGTTCAGGCCTAGCATAAATATAAATTGAAATAATGGTTATGTTTAATGCCCAAATTTAAGAAAGAAAATAAGAGCATCATAAGCACAATGAAAGCTACCTGAAATTCTTTGAATCCCACCCAGATAGACTTGCTGATTTGATCAAAGCATTTTCCCACTCTTGTACTCTGTTTTGGTCGTGCTTAGATCTCTGCATGAGCTTAGCAAATCCATCTCCAAATCTCCCATCCTGTTTTCGAATATTTGATGGATCTACATTGTAGAAAATTGGGACAACAAACCTTCCGTACTTATCCTTACATTTCATAATATGAACGAGTTCATCCATACACCATGTTGAAGATGCATAATCTTCAGAGAAAATGATCAAAGATATCTCTGATTCCTCTATTGTTTTAAGAAGGATTGGTGAGATATGGTCTCCTTTGTCGAGCTTGTGATCCATAAAAATATGAATGCCTGCTTGGCGAAGTGCCTCATAGAGATAACTTGAGAAAGTGTCACGAGTGTCTTCCCCTCTAAAGCTAAGAAACACTTCATACTTGATTGCAGCACTACAAGAATTTGTAGAAGTAGCAGCGGAACCTTTCTAGCGGTTAAACAAAACCGCTAGAAATATCTGAAATTTCTAGCGGTTCCTATAAAAACCGCTACAAAATACAGACGGTTTGACCATTAAACGCACATTTCTAGCGGTTACCCCCTAAACGCTAGAAAATTAGAGCTAGAAAATTCCCCGGGCTTTGGCGGGAACTTGGCGCCAAATTTGTAGCGTTTACTTTCTAGCGGTTCAGGCTAATAAACCGCTAGACACCGAAAAATTCTAGCGGTTGATGCATGAAGCACTAGAAATTTTTTTCATTCCCCGAGGAGTTTAGAAATTTCTAGCGGTTCGGTCCTTAACCGCTAGAGATTTCTAGCGGTTATGGACCGAACCGCTAGAAAGTCTGGCGGTTCAGGACCGAACCGCCAGACTTTCTAGCGGTTCTAGGCCTGAACCGCTAGAAATCTCTAGCGGTTCGGCTAGAACCGCTAGAAATTCTAGCGGATCGGTCCTGAACCGCCAGCATTTCTAGCGGTTCAAGGCCGAACCGCTAGAAATTGCTAGCGGTTCAGGCCTAGAACCGCTAGCCAATTCCCAACGGTCATATGACCGTTGGGAATTTCTAGCGGTTAGGCACAAAACCGCTAGAAATTTCTAGCGGTTTTGTGCCTAACCGCTAGAAAGTCTCGGTCTATATATACCCCCCCACACTCTCACTTCTTCAATCGTTCTGGAAGCGAAGCTCTGCTGAATTTTCTTCACAAACATATTCGAGTTCTGATTCAGTTGCAGATCCTTATTTTCAGGTAAAAATAGTAATTTATTGATAAATAATTTTTATTTTATGTTTTATTTTATTAATTTTATTATGTTATAGCTTATAAATTAATTTTTTTATTTCATTTATAAATAATTACTATTTGTTGTTATTAGGATGCCTCGTCGACACGGGAAAGACCCAGTTGATCCTGAGAGAGCTGGACCCAGTGAGGTTCATCATGATGCTGATGAGCCATTTCCCAGCATTCATGACTACGATCTGAGCGAGGAGGATATCCTCAGTTTTATGGAGCAGGATGGTGTTGAGCGGACTGAGGAGGCTCATTTTACTGGGGATGAGCAACCCCATGCTGATGCTGCTGACGAGGAGGAGGAGGAGGAGGAGCAGGATCAGGGGAATGAGTATCCCCAGGCTGCACAGCGTCCTGCTCCGAGACGTCAGGCTGGTTATGAGGTGGAATTTGTCGGTAAGTATTTATTTAACTTTTTAAAGTTTTGATCAGTATTTAATTTATATAGAAATTATATTAATTTATTGATATATAATTTATTTCTTAATTAAATTTTGTAGACACTGAGGGGAACAGGTCCTATCGGAGGCTGACAGCCAGAGAGCTGTCTATGATGACGGGCGGACGAGTGGTTGTGCCGCTCAATGAGTTGGGCCAACCGACGAAGAAAGGTGGCCAGTTGTACAACAAGTACGTGCGCCTCCTTGGTCAGCAGTGGACGCTGTTCCCCATCTACGTGCAGGACTGGAAGAAGATCACCTCAGACAAGAAGCAGCAAGGCTGGGAAATAATGAAGGTAATATAAAATTGTTATTTATAATTTTTTTTAATTTAAATAAATGATTATATATTTTGTTTT